TCCTTCCTTCCTTCCTTCCTTCCTTCCTTCCTTCCTTCCTTCCTTCCTTCCTTCCTTCCTTCCTTCCTTCCCAGGCAGAGCAATTAAACACGCACAGCAGATCTTATTTACTTTGGAGTCTGGGACCAGGAAGGGGATCCCAAAAGTTTTAGTAGTGATCACAGATGGACGATCTCAAGATGATGTGAACCAAGTTTCCAGAGAGATGCAACTAGATGGTAAGAATTCATTTTCTTAGAAAACCTTCACAATGTCATCAGTTTGATACAAATGTGCCTGGCCTTCCATGGTAAATAAATAGATTACTCTGTTAACGTATTTTGTGAACTTAGACAGTTATAGTTTATTCAATAAATCATGATTGAGCAAATAATGGTGTAATATATATGTGATCCCCAATTTTTTGCATATCTGTTAGCTAATTGGACACTTACATGCCACACATCTATGGCATGTTTCTTAGAAGCAAGCCTTCCTGAGAATTAGCTTCCAAATTAGTGTTTACAATCGCATTCTTCAACCTGGTGGACCCAAGTTTAGTTGGGGCTATAACTCCTGTAATTTCACTCCTAAAATACTCTACTTTACAACAATGGTATGCTGGCAGGGCAAATATTAGTGTTAGATCATGTGTTATTGAGAGAAATAAGGGAAATATGCTTCTTTATCCATTTGACTCAGACATGGGTCATTTCTGTTCCTAAAATAAATTTGGCCAGCCAAAGGAAATAGGATGCCAAAACCAATCCTTTTCTGAATATGCAGAAAGAATAAACAGATGGTGTTGATAAGAGCAAGGAGGTTATTTATGACCTGTTCTGGTCCTTGGAGAAAACTACGTTTGGCTCAAGAAGTAGCTAGAACAATCTTCTCCAATCTTCCCTCTGTATGTATTGAGCTATAAATACACATCATTCTCTGAGATCAGGGATGTCTAGGGTTGGCTGGGGAATTCTGGGGGGGTTGAAGTCCACAAGTCTTAAAATTGCCAAGATTGGACACCTATGTCTTAGAGGAATTATCTAGTCTTAACACATTTGGAAGAGATAGGCTGAGGAAGCCTCAACTAGATTAATAAAAATATATTCAACTTTTATTTATATATTTACCAATTGACTGATCCCAGAAATGTTTCCTTCCTTCCTTCCTTCCTTCCTTCCTTCCTTCCTTCCTTCCTTCCCCAGGGTTCAGTATATTTGCCATTGGAGTAGCAGATGCTGATTATGCAGAACTGGTTAACATTGGCAGCAAGCCGAGCGACAGACATGTGTTCTTTGTGGATGACTTTGATGCCTTCAAGAAGATTGAAGATGAACTGATCACTTTTGTCTGTGAAACAGCCTCCGCAAGTTAGCAGTTGTTTCTTTACTTCTTCCTGCCTATTGCCCCAAATATTTTTAAAAATGCGTTTTGCTAACTTGATCTTCAGAATGATGGTGTACAGCATCCTGTTTCTCTTCGTGTTTACTTAGAAGTCAGTCCCATTAAGTTTAATGTTTTCTCCCAGATAAGTGCGCACTTGATGGTGGCATTAGAGAAGAGTGTGTTGCATTTATAGGCAATTTGGATGGTGCTCAAAATAGCTAATAACAATTTCAAATGTACTACTATAATTAAGAACATACAACATATAGAAAAACACTGGTCCCATCATTTAAAAACTACTTCTCCAAGTTGGATAGACTACTTCTATCTATGGTAAGATGAAACCCATAGAGGGGCGTGCATAAGCACACAATCGTGCCTACCATCCCTGTCCTATTGTCCCCAATTATTAGTTCCTATTTCTTGTATTTAAACTTAAGTTTATTCTTGTTTTTGTTATATTGTAAGCTTTTGACAAATAAATAAATAAAATAAAAATAAATAAAAATAAATGCCCTTAAAAAGACTTAGGAGGACAGAATTGGCTGGAATACGTTTGACAATGATGATGGTCAATTTGTAAGTAAAAAAGAGAATAATTTTAAAAACTGAGCAATTTTAGAAAAAAGCAAATGTAACGAAGGCATCCTGATTCATTTTGGTGTGGGTATGTATGTAATATTAGCTTTATTATTTTGGTTATAATATAATAACAAACCGTGTTTGTATTTGTCATGTCTGTACACTACTTAATACCCAGCATTCACTCTTCTGTTTCTACCATATATTGCAGTAATAAAGTATCCAATATAATATAGATAGTCCTTGATTCACGATCAGTCACTTAGAAACTGTTTGAAGATATGAACCCCCTCCCCCCCAAAAGCTACTTATAATCCAATTCCAGACTTCTGATGACTGCACAAACACCGGTGGTCAGATAGATTCAGTTGGGGCCCTTGGCAACTGGATTATCTTTATGGCCATTTGCAGCATTCTGTGGTTGTATGACCAAGATTTATGACATATTTTCCTGGTTTCCAGCCTTTTAAAGCCAGTTTCCAGCAAAAATGCCCAAAGGAATACTGATTTGCTCAACCATCATTTGTTCACTTAATGATTGCCATGCTCATTTAGTGACCAATGTTCACTTAATGGCTGCCACAAAAAAAGCCATAAAATCAAATTTGGTTACATGAGTATCTCAACTTATGACCCTCACAATTTATAATGGAAATTCTGGGTTCCATTACAGTTGTAAGTGGAGGACTAACTTGTAATGGCTACAATTCATATAGCAGTGTCATCATGAGCTATTGAATGCCAAAGGGAGTAACAATGCAGTGATTGTTTGTCTGTCTCAACTGTACAAAATAAAGACATGTCTGCTAGTTTTCAAACATCTGCTTCCCCTCAAACTGCAGCCACACAGCAGTGATGGCTTTGTTTGTGAAGCTTTCCAAATGTGGACTGGATTTTCAAAATAGATGGAGAAATTCCATTGATCACAACAAAGACAACATTGCTGTGTTTATTTCAGTAAGTAAAGAATCAATAGCCCCAAGATCTTTCTAAAGTTTATAGGAAATACTATAGTGCGAGAAACATGGCAAAAGGAATGCTTGATTGATTTCTGACACTTAAAAATGCTGTGTTTACAGGCCACATTCTGAAGCTTTGTCATGTTTTGATTTCTTGGTGTTGATGCAGTTTTTCATAAAAATTTAATACATTTGGCATTATGAATATTTCTTCTGAGAGATAATTTGTTTTCTTCCCTTTTACAGCTTGTCCATTGGTGTATAAAGATGGCAATAGTTTAGCAGGTATGTTGTTATTAAACAAATACATTTTTCATGTGACAAGTAATGAGTGAATAATGTAATATGTACATAGTTTATTTCTTTGCAATAGTTACAGCTTAGAGATGTTAGCTATGGAGAGGGATTCATCTAATATTCCATGTTAATTATGAGATATTTGAGTGGTTTTTATTATTGTGTTAGTTGTTTTGTCCTGGAGTGTGTTGCATGCTTTTAACTGTTTTACTGTTTTTGGATTTTGTAAGCCACCCAGAGTCCACTGGAATGGCTATAACACATGTAAATAATTAATAATAATAATAATAATAATAATAATAATAATAATAATAATAATAATAATAATAATAATAATAATAATAATAATAATAATAATAATAATACATTCTACATGGTGCCTTCACTGCACCATAAACGGGGTAAGGAAATATTTGGAGGCCAGTGTTGAAAGAAAGAAGAAGCATTTAAGCAAAATTAACGTGGACTCTGGGATTTTGCAAAGATTATAAATACATGCCAATTGCCAAATGTTTGAATTTTGATCAGGTAACCATGGGGATACTGCAATGGTTGTAAGTGTGAAAAATGGTCATAAGTCACTTTTTTCAGTGCCATTGTAATTTTGAATGGTCACTAAACAACTGGCTGTAAATGTAGGAATACCTGTACCGTCTTTCCTTAATTAGCTTCTACTTCCTATACAATGGAAATTGAAAGCATACGGTCATGTTTTGTTAGTTGTGCAATTATCAAGTAATTGTCAGAAATTGTAAGAATTTGCAGTGCCTGAGTTGCTAAACTCTTCATTACATAACTCATATTTAACTTCCCATTCTGATTAAGAAATAGAAATGACACACATATCCCTCTGTTTTGGTTTCCAGGATTTAAAATGATGGAGATGTTTGGCTTGGTTGACAAAGAGTTTGCATCTGTGGAAGGAGTGTCTATGGAACCTGGAACGTTTAATGCCTACCACTGTTATGGACTGCATAAGGATGCTTTGGTCTCTCAGCCAACCAAGTACGTACTGAAGATAAAGCTATTGTCAGGCGCAAAGAATCAGGATAATCCATCAAGTTCAAGCACAGAAGGTTTATATCCAAGAACAGGGATCTCCCAATGTGGCAACTGGTGGACTTCAGCTCTCAGAATTCTTTAGCCAGCATGGAAGTTCACAAATCTTAAAGTTGCCAAGTTTGAAGAGCCTTGCACAAGAATTTATGATCAGACGTTAGGGACAATCTGTAATATTATAGTTGTAGGCAACTATTAAAAAAAAAGAACTTATGCAATCTAACAATGTAATATCAATGTAATTTTTGCATCTAGGAATGGGAGTTCGATTATTTTGAAGTTACGGTGATTTATTTATTTAATTTTATTTAATTTAGAAACCATCCACCTTGCTCAGAGGGACCTCTGTGCAATTACATATATGCAAAGACAGAATATGAATATGTGGGCATGTGCATGTGTTTTTTGCACGCAGCCTTGCGCACAGATTACATTGCGCATATCGCTAAAATTGTATCAAGTAACAAAACTATCTTGCAATTTTTGTACATGATGACAATTGTTTTGCATTTTAAAAAAACAACTAAAACAACAAGCAAAAAAAGCTTTTGGCTTAAAAGTTTCCCTGATAAAGAAGTATTGCCTAGGGAAAAGGATAATGGGGGGAAAAGAAACAGCATCTGGAAATTCTCCCCCAGACATTTCCTTCTTTCCTGAAAGATTTCTCACTAATTTGTCTTGAAAGAATTCCAAGCAGAAATCTGATGGATGCCTCTCAGCTTAATTTGCAAAGTTGAGTCAGTAGTTGCAATGAGATACAGCACTAAATCAAAGTTTAGTGTTACATCTGTAGTCCAGATGTCTCTTACTTCTCTTCTACTACTTCTCTTCTAGAAGGCAATCAGAAACATTTGCTTCAACCTTCAGTATCACCCCAGTACAGTCATCATACTCGTCAGTTGACTGCAGTGCTTCAAAACTCATCAAATTTGATATTCAATGTGTTTTGAAGCAGAAATTTTGTCTTTTTCCTGGTAGTCGATGTGCAAGGAAGAACTTGCTGGTACCGGCTGCTTCGTGACTTGCTATTTCTTCAAGCCAAAATAGCAGGTCACGTAGTAAATCATGTGGTTTTTCTCGGTACCTGTCGGTTTTAGTATTTACACATCTTCCGGAACAAATTACCGAGGAGGACTGAGGTACCACTCATTTCATCTGAATGAGTGTAAATCAGTCTGGACAAAAACAAAACAAAACGTGGTTAGAAGTGAGCATGTTCAAGACATAAGCCAATTTAAACTCTCCATAGTTTTTCCTATTCAGATTAAACAAGAAATAGCAGTTAACTGAGAACACCAGTGAAGGGTTTAAATCCATTGTATATGAATACTATGTGTATAAGCTGCATACACAGATGGAACCCAATCTACAAACATAATGGAGATTGCCAATTAGAGTTGTAAGTTGTGACGGTCATAAAGTCATATAATTGACAACTGATTTTATGACCTTTTGTTGTATCTGTTGTTAAGTGAGTGCTATGGTTGTTAGGCAAACCCATTGTTTGCTACAGAGCATTTTGCCAAAAATCCGGAAGTAAATACAGGTTTTCAGCAAAAAAAAAGTGAATTGTGGTCACACAACTGTAAATGCGGGCTGGTTGTCAGGCATTGAAAATATGGTTACATGACTACAGGGGAAGAGCAGCCATCAGAACTTCAGACCTGAGTCATAAGTACCTTTTGGGGAGAAACTTATATTTTCAAACATTTGCTAAGCAACCAATCATACTGTATGCATAGTTTTGGAGCCAAGGAGTAATATGATATATGTTCTTTCAGAAATGATCAAATCTTAAGCTTGTAAGTTGTTGTTGATGATGATGTTATCCGTTTGGTCAAGTCTAAGAGCCAGGTCTCTCCACATCTTCCAATCTTGCACTAGTTCTTTGAGTTTTTCTATGCCTCGGCTGGTGTCAACTTTGATGGTGTCCAGCCATCGTGTTCTTTGGCTGCCTGTTTCCTTTTGCTGTTAACTCTTCCAAACATAATTCCTTTCTCCAGTGAATTCCCCCGCAGGACATGGTCAAAGTAAGTGAGATGCAGTTTTGTGATTTTGCCTTCTAGTGACATGTCTGGAGTCCAGTACTTCATTCTTATCACCCTCACTGTGTTAATTCCATATAAGGCAACAAATTGACAATGTCTTATCCACTATGTAGTTCCAACATAGATGGACTAGATCAGTGTTTTGGAACCTTGGCAACTTTAAGATGGGTGGACTTCACTTCCCAGAATTCTCCAGCCAGCACGCTTTAAGATGAATGGACTTTACCCTCCAGAATTCCT